ATTCCTGAAAAAGGATATTAGTATACTTGGATAAGAGAAAGCCTTTTATATCCCTATTTTATAGATGCACAAGTGAGACAGTGCCATTTAACTGACTTGCCCAGAGTCATACAGCAGTTTTATGTCAAAAGAAGGAGAAGCAGGAGTCAGAAAATCCAGGCCATTGCTTTGGCCATCCTCTTGCTCCTTGTTTGCAACCATCCCTCAGGGCAGCAGTTCTCTCTGTACCAAAGCTGACAGAGGTCAGCCTGGCTCTTACAGGAATGCTCAGCATCATCTCCTTTGCCCAACCCCAAGAGTCTGAATCATCTGAGACAGGGGATCAGTGTGTCCTCACACTGCTGAGGATCAGCGTTCACACCCTGGGACAGGATTCACGCTGGGAAACAAGGCTGAACTCCTGGAACTTTTAGGGATTCTGGAACACAGATTTTGCAAACTGAACTTTTGATTTAATAAGATTTCTCATGATTTTTAGAAGAAACCTTAATAATACTACATTTCACCAGGTGTAACTCTAGAACCTGTGGTCTGTAGACTGTATGCAGCCTGGTCTCTGGCAGGTCTGGAAGATCAGCTCTGCCATTTTGAGGTCATTACTTCAGAGCTGCTGCCAGTCCCGTTGCCAAGGGCCACTCATCTTCAACACAGGCGGTTGCAAAACCACTGGTTGGTTGTTTCATTTTACATGCTGATAACATGGGTCTATCTGGGGAAAAAACAGCATCATTTATTATCAGAAATTCTCCGTTTAATTATAAAAGTCATTTAGTTCATTTGTCTCTTTTGTGACTAGAATATAAGCCATGAAAAGTAATTGCTTTAATTAATAATAGATTACGGTCTTTAATGTTCTAATGAATACCTCCATGACATGTATTTCTAGATGAAATTCAGGTACTTTTTTTTAAACATACATTTTTTAGGATGTTTTTTCTCACTAAAATTGCCTGAAGGTCTGTCCAGTCCCCATGCTCTGAGGCTGGTTTTTCCTTAACACCTGCTACTTACAGTCTCCTGAAAAGGCTTGTGAAAATAGAGGCTGTGAAATTCATGCTTCAGAATCACACAGTAAGTTTCCTTACTGTGGTAAAAAACATGATGGTGTAGTAAATTTTGTAGAATACTCAACTTCTCCCATGCTTATGTTTTCGTCAGAGCAAGCACTTCCCTTTCCTGGGCATCAGTGACCATGACAGCCTCAGTGACCTCAGGTGCAGGACAGTGTTCTACACAGCTCTCACTCGTCTGCTGATGGAGGACTTAGGTAAGGTCCTCCTCCCATGGCCCTGAGACACACCTTGCTGTCTTGTGGGATACCATGAACTTGTATGGTTATTAAACTGCAATTTAATTGTGTGGTGTGTATGTTATGGTTGGTATTTCAATCACTGGCTATCAATATTTGAGATTTATGACACTAAGCAGCAACACTGCTGGAGAAATAAGGAAAATGAGTTACATTTTGCACAGAAGCATTTTTTGTGTCAAAGTATGAGGATTTGCAACAGTAAGTGCTTGAGTAAGAACCTCCACCTTCCAGGGGACATATGGATTATGCCAGAGCCTTCTAGCTTCTACTAGAAGGGCTTCTTTATTTCACTTCTTCATGCAAGCTGCAATACTTTATTTCACTTCTTCATGCAATACACAAAGCCATCCAAGTTTTAATAAAAACATCGACAAGAGCTCTGCTGTTCAGCCAGAACTACTTAAACATGCACTTGGGGTTACCTTTGGAGGTGCCCTTGGGAAATGAGGGAGGCCAGACACATGTAAAACCCAGTGCATGCTGTAAGAGCTGGATGTGACAAGGGGCTGGGTCACCTTGAATCTTGGCACTGCCTTTGGTCACCAGGGTAAGATGCAGAACTCTGATGAGCTCTCTGTTGTCTATAAACAGGCAAGGCATGGGCTTCTCAAAATGAACAAATCCTGTATTAAAGAAGCTGATGGTGAAGAATGCAGATCTTAACTTGTTAACCATTGTTGTCAGCTTTTTCTTAAAGAACAGCAATGCAAAAGTAAAGTGTAGGTACTAATTGTGTTACTTTCCTAAAAGTTACAAATTATTTAATTAATAGGGCAAGACTATGTAGGGACCTGCTTGTATATTCTTTCTAACTGCCTACACTGACATTTAAAACAGAAATGGCACATAGGATTTCCCCTAACCCCATCTGCAGAACTAGCCTGTTTGTCACTGAAGTGTAGGTCCCAATCAACACTGGACACTCTGGTGGTTCTTTGATCTCCTCAACACTTCCCCAATTATGCTTGAGATTCTGCCTTCAGGAAGGGTTTGTCTGGAACAGAGTTGTGTCCATAGAATCTCTGTGGAGATTCTCTTCTCCCAACACCCAGCACTCCAGGGGGGTTGCTGCTTGTGCTGTGTTTGTGCAGGTTTCTCCCAGGAACTCTGCAAGTGGCAGTTGAGCCTTGATCCTGCATGGACCTGAAAGTCATTCAGGTGACTTCTGTATGCTGACATGGGACTAGACCAGCAGGGGACTCTCTCTAAATCATTGTTCTTTATTTATTGGGGTTTTTGCTCCAAGGAAAACCTGCTAAGCAATTAAAAGGAGAAAAGCATCAGGATGCACAATGTATAAAGAAATAGTTTAGCTCCCAGGAGGTGAAGAGAAAGATGATGCTGGTCAAGCAAAGAGATGGGGGTGCAGCAACTAATGCTGTATTGGAACGACCTGAGGAGCTGGACATGGCAAGGGAAGGAGGCAGAAACAAAAAGCTGGAGGAATAGTCAGAGAAGAGGACACAAGGGCCCAGAAATAACAAATAAAAAGACTGACTGCAGTTGAAACAGGCAGATAGAAGGTGGCAGAGGGGAAAGATGGACAGGATTGGATTTTCCCAAAATCTACCAGCTGCTACTGCTGCCAGCAGTAGCTTTGCAGTGTAGCACAAAGCATCTAACCCTCTTCAGCTCTGCTGCAGGTGCAGGATACAAGTCACAGGTTCAGGCAGTTACTTGGCTAATTTAAGCAAGTTCTGGAGCATAGATTGCCATTTGAAGGCTCTGGAACTGTGGCTGAGCAGTGCAGTGGCAGTAATCATTGCAAGTATTTCCTTTGCTTTTAAAAACTATCTGGAAAACTGGGCAGGAAAGCCCTGCTTTAAAGGGCAGCAGTTCAGGTCACAAAGCTGTGTGTTCAGACCTGAGGAAGTGCCATAACTGGAGCTGCTTCCTCAACTTTCCACTGTAAATATTTATATTGTTACGAGGCAGTTTTAATTGCAGGATCACAATTATTTCTCTCAGAGGATATTTGCCTCTTTCAGTTCTGAAGATGTGTCGTCCCAGTTAATGAGACACTACTGAGGAGATTTTCAATATTTTTTCTTCTGTGTTGTGATCTGGATTCATGTGTTATCCATGTTTTGCTTCCTGTTGGGACTATTTTTTCTTCCTGGCCTTTTTTTGTTGTTGTTGTTGTTCTTTTCTGTCTTTCTTCCTGGGGTGAGTGATTTGGTCTTCATAATAACCTTGGAGAGAAGAGGCTGGAATTGGGTCCATTTCACAGGTGGGTGTATGAAGTGTAGAAACTGACCTGTGAAGCTGCCACTGATTTTGCACCACCAATTTGACACACAAAAACTCCTCCTAACTTCAGACTTTACCAATGAAGAGAGAAGAGAAAGAGAAGCCCTATAGCAAAGAGCTCTTTAAAGAACATAAATTAAATATCTACTCTGAATTACTCTCAAGGGGAATCTGGATCTGAGAGACAAGCTGCCCTCATTAAGGGCCTAAAAATAAGTAGTGTGAGTACCAACCCTCGTGCAAATTGCCATGCCTAAAAAGTTGTTGTTTGTACTTACTTGTTCAGCATCGTGACAAAACAAAACCAGTCCCAACTCCCAGGTTATATAGTTCAACTGTCTAACCAAGACAATCTCTTTTTACCCACCCACAATGTCTTGTTTCTTTTACTAGAAATTCAGACCTTGGGAAGCAAATGAGGCAATAGTGTCACATGAACAGTGACACAGTCCAGATACATTTCCATGGCAGCTTCACTGTGAATACTAAACAGGTAGAAAATATGATCATAAAATACTGCAGTCTGAACAGCAGAGTGCAAAGCACACGAGTGGAAGGGTCTAATTTATTGTTGCAGTTTTGAGCTTAACATTTTAACTGTTGAGTTCTGGCATTCTTATCTGAATGTTCCAGGGTACTGAGCAAATGCTGTCAGATTAACAGAGAAAATAGAAATATGGAAAAAGAAAGATGTGCAGTGCAGAGACCTACTGGTCTCATATACAAGTTGTTTGCATCAAGTCAGCAATTTGTCTTCTTTGTTTACAGCTCAGCACAGACAGGTCAGACCTCAGGTTTTTGTTGCTTTACGTCATAGGAGGAAAGTCCTCGTGATGTCAGGGAGATTTTCCTATCAAAGCCTGAAGAGACTGGCCCTGCCAACCAGCAGTGTGAACGTGATGTGATGCCTTTGCTCTTGTGTTTTGGTTTCTTTTCCTGCAGGTGAAGACGAAGATGAGTTTGAGAACTTCATGCTCCCCCTCACGGTTTCCTTTGAAAGTCTGACTCAGGCATTCAACAGTAGTTTTGAGCAAGAAGAAGCAAAGGTAGGTTTATTTCAGTTACAGGGTAGGAATTATTGGTAGGAAAAACTAAGAGCTGGGCATGCATTTAGCAAAAAGCTTGTCATCTCTGTCTCTCTCAGCATGTCTGTACCTGCATTTTCATACCTGCCTACACAGCTGTAATTAGTCGTGTA